CCACGTCTCCGGCTCGCTCTCATGCCTCGGCCCCCCGCCTGCTCAGCCTCAGCCATCAGATCCTCCTGCCGGCGCTAAATCAATGAGTCCTGAAGCTGATTAGCAGGTTCAAGTGCAGGTCATTTCACACAGCCGGAGGACATTTTCACCAATGAACATAATCATATTTACTGTAACGGCACAAGAATGCAGACGTCTGGAGCTTCTGACAATTTAGTGACTCGAACCTCATTCAAGCACATTCTGAGCCTTGTTGTGGTGCAGAGCAGAGATGGGAGAGATCCTACGGTGGCTGGGAAGTAAAAACCAAATCTACAAGTAGCAAAACACTTATACAAGTAAAACCAACCAGAAAGGGAACGCACCGACTCTGGGACTGGACAGGAAGTGGTGACGGGGAGCAGCCAATAAGAGCTGCTGTTGTCATGTATGGAGTTCATGGTGACCCAACAGAGGGATGTTTAGCCCGTTCTGTGGCACACATGAGCTGATTAATGCGGTTTTGTTTGTTGTGTGGTCGGTCTTTAGGATTTTTAAGGGGCATGGACCAGAAAACCAGCGACCTTCTAGCTGCGAGGCGACGATGCTACCCACTGAGCCACCTTGCAGCCTCGTCCAGAAACCTGTTGAGGTTAATTGGTGATTGTAAATTGTCCGTAGGTGTGAATGTTGGCGTCCCGGTGAGGACACCCGGGATCTTCCTGCGTGGAGTCTCCATGTTCTCCCCGTGCAGCGTGGGTTCTCTCCGGGTTCTCTGGCTTCCTCCCACAGTCCAGAAACATGCTGAGGTTAATTGGTGATTGTAAATTGTCCGTAGGTGTGAATGTGAGTGTGCTTGGTTGTCTGTCTCTAAGTGTAGCCCTGTGATAGACTGGTTACCTGTCCAGGTGAACCTGCCTTCACCCTGAGTCAGCTGGGATAGACTCCGCCCCCCATGACCCTGGTGAGGATGAAGGTGTAGAGATGATGGATGGATGGATGGAGGTATCCAATAACCGCAGCAACAAACCAGCACTCTGTTTCTTTTACAATTAACAGTGAACTGTAGACGGGCTTCTTGGTAACATCCCACTAATTTACAGGGTTTTGTTTTTGTTTTGTTTTTTTTGAAATTATGAGGAATTTAAAACATGCAGTTTCCTGGAATGTATGTTCGTGTGACCAAACATGCTTTGTTACAAGCTAGAAAAACGTGTTTACGCTCCTGTTATGTGACTTAATCCAAGTATCAAGAACAGACCCTGGATGTAGGAGATGTTCCAGAGAACACCTTCAGTGCCTCCAGTCAGCCTGAACCTAGTGAGCACTGGTCTTTGTACGTCGGACACAATGCCTTTAAAAATGTGTTTTCATTTCACATTTGTTGCAGCTGATTATGCACCATGTGTAATGAGGGATCTGCCTGACGTCAGCAGCGCACGTTTCCAAACCGATTCTGAATTAATCAAAGTTCTACAAAGAAACTGAGAAATGAATGTGGGGCCGGTGGAGGCCCTGAGGGTGGGGTCCGCTCTCCTGCTGCATGTGGTGCTTTATTAGGTTCACCTTTCATTTTATTTACTGCAGCGTGATTTTTACAGTAACCAGTGAATCATTTCAGCTCCACGGCTCATTTGCAGAGCATCATGAATGTTCGGCAGAATGATTCAGTCTACAACTGACGGCACGAGTTCTGCTGGGAGTCCACTTGATGCATACTGAGCTGCAGTTCTTTACCCCACACTAATGAGGAGAACAAATCCACTGAGCTCTACGCTAACAGAGATCCTATAGCACCTCCAAGTGGTCATACGGGTGCACAACACGCATCGCAATGACAGGTGAGACGTACAAAGCAACAAGAATCAGATTCTCTATCTAGTGTTTATATGATTGATTCTCCACATTTACTCTCCAGCCTGAACTCTGTAAAACACAGACCTGCTGCTGGAGCAGAGTGCTGCCTTGGACCGCCGTGCTCTCCTGCACAACCTCTGCACAACCTCCGCACAACCTCTGTACAACCTCTGCACAACCTCTGCACAACCTCTGCACTCGCTCACGTCTCCTTCAAAGACAATCTTCAGTAAATAAACAGAACCAGTGTCCCACCAGTAGCCACTGGTTCCCCATCAGTGATGCTCCCTCGCTAATGGTGCTGAACATGGATCATTTCATTGTGAAGTGTCTGACTAACTTATAAAACGATGTGTCTAATCCAGCACCAGCTCTCTGCTGGCTGTGCTGATAGCTGTCACGGCGGCGGCTCTGTGAGCTGCTGCCACAGATGCAGTCAGTTCCCTGGTCCTGAATTTCCTTCCTTTGAAGTCCTGCTGTTTAAACCCGGCAGCCTCCACCTCATCTTGTTTGCTTTAATACGTCCAAAATCAATCAGCAGCTTTTTTTTTAGCAGAATTTTTCCCCTGAATTTTTATCTGAGCGTGTTTTGACTTTCAAACAGCGTTTCCATTTTAATCAGTTCATGCGTGGACCACAGCTGTGGTGCTGCTGCTGGTTCTACTCTGGACCTGAGAGCTCCAGCTGTGGAGTCAACAGTCTGACATTTACCTGTTCAGTAGCTTTAATGCTGTTTTAAATGGACCAAGTGTCTCACCTATAAACGATCAGCCGATACACACCGTATAGACTCTATGTTCTATGTTTTTGTTTTAACACTGACCAATGACCTTTAAATGGCGGCTGATGACAGGATGTGCTCAGTCCTTGTTCTTCTCTGACACAGTCAGTCACAACATCCTGCTGGACCGACCGAGGCGCTGGATGGGGAGATCAGATATCTGATACAGCATTAACATGGCTTCCTACCTGGGAAATAGCAGGTCCTGTGTCTCCATTAGTGACCACAAACCAGACTTTTCTCCAGTCAACTTTGTTTTTGTGACCTATTTTAGTAGCTCTGTTGTGTGTTCATGTTTTCCTCCATCCATGAAGTGTCTAATTTTTCTGTGATGCTGATGATGTGCGGCCGTACCGGCCCGGTAGAACCTCTGAGTTCTCAGAGTGTCTGCACATGTGATAGATGCCACAAAACCTTCTGCAGCTTAATTCAAGAAAACCAGGCTGTTGTGATTGGCTCCCAGGACATAGATAAACAGATGCTGCCATCTGCTGGTTGCCGTCTGGAACACATTCAGCCTGCTGCAGCGAATCATCATGTTTGGTTTGATAAGAGAAGTTACAAGTCGTATTTCACAAAGTCGTGTGTTTTTGTCGTCTTACAGAAACATCTGGAAAACATCTGTGGTGAGGGTGAAGGTAGCCGACGTTAACAGACTGATCAGAGGAGCTGGTTCTGTCCTGGCAGTGGAGGTGTCAGAGAGGAGGAACAACACCTCTCATCCTCTGCAGCCACTCTGGTGTCACATCAGAGCAGCTTCAGCCGTGGACTGAAACCACTGAGGAGCAGCACAGAGCGCCTCAGGAGGGCTGTCCCACCAGGACCATCGCCTCCATCTTCTGCAGGAACAGCAGCTACAGCATGAGACACTCAGATCTAAACAATAATGTAAATATCATTTCTGATATTACTGCTCAGCAGTTTATCCTAAATCTGTTTCTGTATCATTACTGTGCAAAAGTCTTAGGCAGGTAGGAAGGCGAAGGGCAGAACCACCAGATATGGATGTGACTGAGAGTTTTCTTCTGTTCACTCACTTTACATTTTGTAAACTGCTAAATATGAACATTTTTTTAAAGCATTCTTACTTGACAGCATTTAACTAAACTCTTCCTGTTTCAGTTAGTTTTACCAAAACTTATTTCTATTTGCTAAACACCAGAATAATGAGAGAGAGAATGTTTAGGACTTTCTTCATAGTCAGAAGTTTACATCCACTAAGATCCTTCAAACTATTTGGGAAAGCCCAGATGATGATGTCATGGCATTGGAAGCTTCTGATTGGTTAACTGACAGCCTCTGAGTTACCTGGAGGCACACCTGTGGATGTATTTTAAGGCTCACCTCAAACACACTGCTGCCTTTGGTGACAACATGGAACATCTAAAGAAACCAGCCAAGAGAGGAAGAAGACATCACTCCAGAAGAACCATAGAAAAGACAGATTACAGTTTGTAGATGCACACAGGGACAAAGAGCTTCATCAGTGGAGACATGTCCTGTGGTCTGATGGAACCAAACCTGAACTGTTTGGCCTTAATGACCATCGGTACATCTGGAGGAAAAAGGAGGAAGCTGGAAGCCTGAGAACACCATCCCAGCTGTGGAGCACGGGGGTGGCAGCATCATGCTGTGGAGGGACTGGTGACCTTCACACAATAGATGGCATCATGAGGAAAGAACATGATGTGGAGATACTGAAGCAACATCTCCAGACATCAGCAGGACGTTACAGCTTGGACACTAATGGGTCTTCAGATGGACAATGACCCTCAGCATAGCGCCAGATTAGCTACAGAGAGGCTTCAGGACAACAGAGTGGCCATCACAAAGCCCTGATCTCCATCCTGGAGAACATCAGTGGAGCAAGGAGACCAACAAACCTGACCCAGTTCCACCAGTTCTGTCAGGAGGAATGGGCCAGAACTCATCAGACTGTTGTGAGAAGCTTGTGGAAGGAAACCCAGAACGTTTGACCCAAATCATAGAGTTTAAAGGCAACGCTAGCAGATACTGAGGAGATGGATGGAAACTTCTGACTCTGAAGAAAGTCATAAAACATTCTCTCATTATTCTGGTGTTTAGCAAATATAAATAATGTTGGTGATCCTGACTGACCTGAAACAGGAAGAGTTTGGTCTGATTTAATGTCAGACAGAGAAGTAAAATGTTCTGTGTTTTTCATCTGGTGGATGTAAACGTCTGGTTTCCACTGTCTGTCTCATGCTTTTTACTTGTAATCACTGCATTTCTTATGTATGTCTCTTTATTTTTTGCCCTGACTAATACAGAACAACAAGTCTTATTGTTTTTCTTTCTTGCTCAGTAAGAAACTAATTTCCTCAATAAAAATCTTTGTGTACTTGAACAAAGGGAGCAGGTGTGATATTGAGAGATTTATTTGGAATATACGAGTAAATAAAACCTGTTACAACTACTGAGCTCAGATATACGTTGTGTTACTCAGAGTGGATATATGATCACACACAACAGCAGCCAGTAAAGGAAACACAGTGATTAGTATTGAACGTATGACGTCTACGTTCCTGTTGCTGCGAGCTGGTCTACGTGGCCGCCGAGCTTCTCTGGAGGATACAAAACACATGAAACACCAACACATGGCGGTTACTACACAACACAGAAGGCTGGGGTGCTGGATGGACAGAGGCTCTTATCTCTGACGCTATCTTCACAAATGCTGACATGTAAACTTCTCCTTTAGGCTTTGCTTTTGTCGGCGCTGTCTGGCTCGGCGCTCTCCCCTCTGCTGCCGAACCGCTGGTTCAGTTCTGACGTCAGGACTGAGCAGCAGGATTTCTGAAAAAGGACAGAAGACATGAAAGTGAATAAAATGCTCAGTGACATGATCACAGCATGCGGTGCGCTGCCCTACCTTGCCATCCTTGGCTTGGTGACGCGCCCTGGACAGGAGCTCCAGCAGGGCCAGCAGGAGGCCAACACCCAGGCCCAGTCCCAGGAGGAGGAAGAGACCACGGAGGTCACCGGGCAGCAGGGCCTCCGAGACGTGGGCCCCGTCGGCGCTCACGCAGCTGCTGGCCCACCACTTGTCCCGCAGGTATGTCAGCTCACCGGACTCACTGAGCTGGAGGATGGCATTGGTCAGGTTCTTCACCAGCGGGGAACCTGGTGGAGCAGAAACACTCGGTGTGACAGAAGGAGGAGGCTGCTGAGAATCTCTCTTCACAACCACGACCTGCTCCTTCGTTCTTCTGGTTTCAGACGTTCCACCGGATGCTGAACCTGCTACAGGAGTCTGACCTCCTACTACTTTCAGTTTACATTTCACTATGAAAACCAGCTCCACATCCGTCATGACAGTCGCTCCAGCTGAAGCCACCAGAGAAAGACCACATGTGCTCCAGGTGACCGTGAGCAAAGGATCAACGCTGACTTTGACATTGAAATGTAACATCCCAGCGACTCACCCAGAGGAGCTGCGATGGAGTAAGCTCTCATAGAGATGACTTCCTGCGAGCGGGTCAGTCTGCAGTACCGAGCCACGGCCAAGTCCAAGGACACGGCTTCACCGATAAAGGCAAAGTTTCCCTCCTGCGTCCGGCGAACACCCTCCTCCATGCTGGACACGTAGCTTTTCTTACGCTCCATTCGCTCGTAGATGCGCCGGTACACCGGGTTGTTGGAGTGCTGTGAAAGAAAATGATGAAAAATATAACATTTACTTCTATGGACATTTATCTCAGAAAGTATTTAGCAGCTGTGATGATCATGAGCCCTGGTAGGAGGAAGAGATGGTGCCTTAAAGAAGAGCATGGTGGATCCAGCCTCCACGGTGCCGTAGTCGATCACATCCTGGCTAGCGAGGTCCTCAAAGCTGTTGATGGAGATGTGCTTCCTGTTGGAGTGCAACATGGAGTTGAAGTTGCCAAAGTAACAGGCCAGCAGCAGCACAGCGAAGATCCACCAGATGGCGCCGACAACCCGTCCAGACAGGGCTTTAGGGTGAGGACCGGCGCCTGACGGGACAGAGAGCAGACGGGCTGCAGCAGCAGAACCAAGTGACCAGAACGGCAGCTTGTGGATGAGCTTTGTGTGATCAGCATTCACTGATTCTATGACTGCAGTTTGGAAAAGCCTCAACAAAAGAAAACTTTTGTCACTTTTACTTCATACAGAACAACTGGATCCAAAGAAGGAATGCACATCGCTGCAAGTTTTTCTTAAAGCATCACAACTTTGTGCAGATTCTTATGCAGACAAAGTGTTTTCCCTAAAATTACACAAAGAAGGAACAAAAATGCAAAAGACTTTAAATGATGCAGACAAACAGATGACTGACTGAACGACCATCAGCTGACTTCTTACACGTTGAACTACCAAACTGAATATTCACTGTCTTGATTTTATTTCACAGAATTGAAAAATATATTTTTTAAAAAGGTTGTTGTGCTTTTAAGAGTTTTTCAGGTTTACAATGTGATACACAAAAATGAGTGTAATGAATAAAGACCGAGTGAAGCATGAATGTGGACTGAGATTCATTAAAACAGCACCTCCCAGTCCGTTCTCCAGTAACTACTGACTGTGTCCTATATAATCCTGGCTTAGACGTCATCAGGAAACGCTGATGAATGACGGTCTACTATCAGGTCCATCCTGATTCCTCCATCACTTGTTTTTAAGTTACGACACACATTTTGGTGTATTCTACTTGAAGCTGTAACCCCACATTTATTCTGAGAGAGCATGTAGGCGGAGGCATCCAGCATCCAGCAGTGTGTGTCTGGGTTCCTGTGGTTGGGTTTAGCGGACTGCTGCGGTACCTTGCAGGGTGAGAGCTCCTGTGATGTACCAGAAGCTGTGCAGCAAAGTGAAGCTGTGCTGGTCTGTGTCTGGCTCAGGCCACTCAGAGGGGCTGATCCTGCAGAAAAAAAGGCTTCATAACCACCAGTGTAAAAGCTGCATTTGCACCATCCATCATCTCTACACCTTAATCCTCACTATGGGGGGGCGGAGCCTATCCCAGCTGACTCAGGGTGAAGGCAGGTTCACCTGGACAGGTAACCAGTCTATCACAGGGCTACACTTAGAGACAGACAACCAAGCACACTCACATTCACACCTACGGACAATTTACAATCACCAATTAACCTCAGCATGTTTCTGGACTGTGGGAGGAAGCCGGAGAACCCGGAGAGAACCCACGCTGCACGGGGAGAACATGGAGACTCCACGCAGGAAGATCCCGGGTGTCCTCACCGGGACGCCAACCGGCGACCTTCTAGCTGTGAGGCCACGGTGCTAACCACTGAGCCACCGTGCAGTCCAGCATTTGCACAGCAAGGTTCACTCATACAGGTCTGCTGGCTAAAACTCTAACACTCATTTCTGAGGATTTATTAACAGGAAATCTGACAAATAGGATTCTCTGCAAAGGCCACACATTCTTCCAACTTCCCTTGTACAAGTAAATTCATAGAAATAAGAACATTTTACATTCTACAGTAACATGGATGTGTGCATTGTTCTATGCAGTAAAGTTAAAGTCCTCATTCAGAGCGAGGTGGTGCCGCTGAGGCGACTCAACAGCTGGCAGAACATAACTTCTGCACTTCAGCAGTTATGTTACAGCAATTACTGCCCTCCAATGTTAGAAAGGTTGTCATGATTATCTAAACCTTTTGTTTATCTCAGTAAAACTCCTACAGTCCAGCATATGGACTTGGTTTATTGGGCTGTGGGGGGTAAGAACATTTTTCAGCTTTTGAAACGGGATTTAATTGAAAAAGAACTGCTGCTATAAATGACACTAACACAGAGAACAACCACTTATCAGAGGAGGCAGACCACTGACGTATGAAGACAATCTCACATTTGCACTGACACACTGGTGTTTAAGTGTTAGAGATTACAGATATGTCTTGGAGGACTTTTTTTTTTAGCTTAAATGTGTCTCAAACCTCCTTCTGAAAGGTTTGAGGAATCTGGTTTCAGTTGGTCTTTGATGCTTTTTTGATAAATGTACATGGAGATAATTCAGCGTGTCTGTCGTGCATCTGTTGGTTAACTGACTCAGCATGCTGAGTTAGACATGTTCAGCAGGCTCCTCCATCCATGATAGTAGCATGTTAATTACTGTCAACCACTAGCATGAGCCCATTATACACACAGAATGGGCTGAGCAATACTAACGGACCACACTAGCGTTCACCAATCAGCCAGTAGTTTTGGAGGAGGGCATTTTGAAACTTGTACTTACCTGCCCACCAGGAACATGCACAGGCCCGTTAGCAGAAATGCAATGAGGACGCCAACCCACATGTCCGTGGAGAAAGGCGACAGGAGGCTAAAGGTGCTCTCTTCTGAGGCCATGTCTTTGTGCAGGATGAAGCCGATGCCTGTTTGCATGAAGGGCGTGGTCATGTCCACATACTGCTCTCTGACTGCAGTGAGGGTCAGTGGGGCCACAGCCAGGTCAGCCTCCTGGTGGAGGACACAGGCAAACTTATCACACAGGACAGGACATAGAACAAGCTGTGTCGAGTCACATGAGCACAAGCTGAGTGACGAATCAAAGGGAAAAGAATGGTGTTCATTTTATACATTTTGTGTTTTATACTCTATTGATCCTGTAAAGAAGAATCTCTCTTCTCACACATCCTATCCTGTCTGTATCTCATGCAAGGCGAATTCCCTCTCGTTGTATTTTACCATTAGCAAGCCAAATACTGTATACAGTCCAGAAACAGAAACAACCTGGGCGGCAGCAATTACGAGTTACAAGCCCAAAGTAGATTGGCGTTAACTCGGGTGCTACGAGTTGTCTACGATGGTGGGAGGGACCATCGCAGTCCTACTGGTCAGCTATTGGCTGCCCTCGACAGGCAGCCGCTGGACAATAAGGTGCTGCCACAGTCTGTCTGCTCCAGTAGGTGCTTGGAGCTAAGGAAAAGAACCAACAAGCGATCATCAACACTCACACCAGACAAAATGAAAAGAACGCTGCCAATCCTACGACTAGCAAGCAGGAATGTCAGGACAATGAGTCCTGGCCTCTCCAACAACCTACCACAGGTTGATGACTCCAGAAAAACAGCCACCATCAACCAAGAGGCTCACTATTAACATTGTTGCACTACAAGAGACACGACTTCCATCAAACGGCAGCCTATGAGAACAGGACTACACACTCTCCATGAACCAGGGCTTCATGGCATTAGGCTTGCAGTGAGAAACTTCCTACTGTCTGCCGTCGAGCCGCCGTCCAAAGGCACTGCCCACTTTCTCTCTCTTGGCCCTGTGAACATCCAGAGTGTCTATGTTCCCACATTCTGGTCTTCGGTCGAGGCCAGAGATGAGTTCTACAAGCAGCTGGAGGCCACCATCAGGAACTTCCCTGCCACAGAACACCTGTACTTACTTGGGGACTGCAACACCTTTGTGGGAACTGACTGCGACTCCTGACCACTTCAGTACTGGCAAGCTGAATGAGAACGACCAGAGGCTGCTGGAACTATGGTCTTACCAAGGCCTCTGTATCACCAACACGTTCTTCTTCAGCAAACCTCACCACAGGGTATCCTGGCGGCACCCCAGAATCCGCCACTGGCACCAGCTGCATATTGCCATTACCTAAAGAACCTCACTGAACTGTGTCCTCATCTCATGCAGTTACCACAGCGCTGACTGCAACACCAACCACTCCCTGGTTGACACCAAGGTGCATCTGTTGCCCAAGCGAATCCACCGTTTCAAACAGAACACTTGCGCAACACCACCACCAAGACAGCAAGCCCTGACTTGCAGGAGCGTTTTCCCAGCTCCATCAAAGAGGCCTCCAGGAACGACATGGACCCACATCCACTACGCCATCTAAAAATCCACCATGGACACCATTGGCAAGTAAGAGAAGTGGAACGCAGACTGGTTCAAAGCTGGTATCGCAGAACTCAGGCCAAGCGAGCTGTGCTGCTTGAATACAAGAGGGAGTGTTTAGAGAAAACAATGGCTGCACTCAGGAGGGTGAAGAGCAACGCCCAAAGAACTGCTCTGTCAGTGAGTCCTGGCTGAACCTGTGTCACAGCACCCAACTCTCTGTTGACTGTGGCAACATCCACACCATGTATAATGGTACAAAGAAAGCCTTTGGCCTGAGCGCCACCAGGACTGCATCACTAAAGACGGTTTCTGGCGACATGATAACTGACTGCAGCCAACAGATGGAGAGGTGGGCTAAACACCACCAAGAGCTCTACTCCTGGGAGAGCACCGTGGTGAGTGTGGGTTCAGAGCAAAAAAGATCAAGAGTTGAGATGGTCTTCTCAGCTGGTGAGCACATCTTTGTGGTGATTGAGAACTTCACCTACTGTAGCTCCATCTCCAGCAACCTCTCCCTAGATCATGAACTGAACACGAGAATCAGCCGAGCAGCAGCAGCAATGTCTCGTTAACGAGGAAATTCTGGGATCACTCTATGCTGACCACATATACCAAGATAAAGGTGTATGAAGCCCGTGTGCTCGGCATGCTGCTCTGTGGCAGTGAGTCCTGGACTCTGTACACCTGCCAAGAATGAAGACTCAACACCTTCCACCTGTGCAAGGAATGCTAAGTGTGTTTGCCTTGATGTCGCTAAGGTGCCTGCGCTGGCTTGGTCAGGTCAGCCGTATGCAGGACGGAGGATCCCCAAGGACTTGTTGGATGGTGAGCTCGCAACTGGCTCCTGACCTGCAGGAAGGCCTGTCCTTCTCTATAAAGGTGTCTGCAAAAAAACATGAAGACTGGCTGGGAGGCTGCAGCTTCTAACTGCAGCAGACGGAGGCTTGCCGTCAAAGACAGCTTCAAGACTGGCGAAAGAGTGAGGATTGGTGGGAAGAGACGAAGGAGCACAGAGGACAGAGGCCAGCGTCAGGCCAAACACAGCGAAGTGCAGAATTTACCTGCAAAAAATACAACAGAACTTGTTGCTCCTGCGTCGGCCTGTACAGCTACAGCAGGAACAAACAAACAGTAAACAAACAACAAACAATCTGCCGACTGATCTATGGCGCACACCCCATCGTCTCCAGAGGCAGACGGATGCCAACAAATGTCCCATGACACACGCTAACATATACACGCTATATTAAGGTGAGGTATTACCAACGTGTGAGGTGTTCAGTGACTTACCCCTCTGACTACTTCACCAATCATGCCGTTCCAGTTGCCATTAGAGTCGATGGATCCGTATCGGTTGTCCTTCACCAGGTGCAGTTTGTACTTGAAGCCCAGCTTCTTGGAGAGCTCTGAGATCAGGTCAATGCAGTAGCCCTCCATATCGGACCCCCTGCTCATGGTGTACGGCTCTTGCTGAGGAAACAGAAGGGGTCAGTGCTCTGAGGATGAAGAAAATGTATATGTGAAAAACAGGGAGGAAGTGGAAGTGCATGTGGGTGTAAAGCTTTTGTCTAAAATGTTGGTCATGCATTAAAAGTGGAAAAGCTGAAACATGCGAAAGACTGTTGGAAGAGAAAAGTGGACAGCTCATGTCGTGGTGTAAACAGGAAAACTCTCTGAGTCTGGAAACATGTTTTTGTATGTCTTGACTGTCGACATGTTAGAACAGTTTGTCCAGAGATCGACGCCACTTTATCTGGAAGTCCAACTTAGAGGTGAGCTCCCTGAAATGCTTGTTTCTTTAACGTACAGCCCGATTTGATCCGGACAGTGATTGTTCCCGTCATGTACAGTGAAGGTTTCAGTGAAGGAGAACTGCCTGAAAACCAGACAGCTGCCTCAGTGTCACAGAACCACAGAGTCATACAGGATATAGACGGCATGCTGAGGAACTCAAGGTGTGGTTAAACAACCAACCTATTATGTTCTATCACATGATAAAGAAATACAACTAATTCCATGATTTGACACCTCAGAGCAAAGTGTAATGAGTCAGTGAGTTTATAGTCAGTCCTCTTCAAAATAAATGACACATATTAATTTCTGTCTTTTCTTTTCTGTGCTGCACCACAAATATTCCACATCATGATATTTGTGTGCTGCCACAGCCTCACCAGAAACAGGGCAGAACCTACAGACAGCCTCCTCGTAAACTGTCCTCAAAACTTAACTGCGATTTGTAAACACTTATTCCTGATATTTGTGAAGCAAAATACTAATTACTAATTACTAATACTAATTACTAATAATAATCATAGTGAAAAAAACAAATAACTAGTTAAAAAAAATGTGCAAAATGCAAACACTCTTTATCACGGAGAGTCTGGCTAACATCTGGCTGTTGGTTTGGTTAACCAGGAGCTCTGTCCACTTCCTGTTTGGGCTTGTTTACTCCTGAAACATTGGTACCATGTTGGCAGTTAACTTTGTGAGAACAGTTTTACTGCTCCTGATGCAGATGATGGGCAAACCACCAAACAAGACCCTTGTTGTTTTAGGACTCTCTTGTCCAGCTGCACTGTGGACTTCTGGCCTGGAAAGCAGCACAAAGCAGGAATACCTTTATGGTGGTGATGGATAGCTCCTTGGCATCTAGAACAGAGAACGACAAAAACACAACAACACATTTTTGAATCCAGTAACGAAGCAAGTGAACATAATCAAGCACAAAAAGAGAGGATTTAGTCTGAGCCAGTTCTTTGGCTGATTAGTGGTTTGGTTCGTGTCTACAAGCTTACGTGCAGAGCAGCTTCTGAAAGCCTAATGAAGCGTATTGTTGTCTTAAGTCCCCTTCATGTGTTTTTCTCTCAGCCTCGGCAGTAAATAAGCCAAACAGCCACAGTGGAACAATGACACTCCTGTTGTGGGCTGATTTTCAGGAGATCTGAAAAAGTGGCTCCATACTGGGGGGAGGTGGCAAGGTACAATGAGCGGGGCAAATGGGCCCCTATAAAGGGATGAAAGTGGGGACCCACACTTCAGGATGGATCTGTTGTTCATCGTCAGGCAACTCCAAGCCCCCGACCCGGCAATCAGATGAAGGGGATGAAGCCAACAGCCCATCCCATCATTACTCATGACATTCACAGTTGTTTTCTTTTTGCCATAACTGTGACCAATGGCATTCCCAGCGTGTCCAGCAGGACCTAACATGCCCTGCCAGGGTTGGTCAGGGAAGGGAGGGGGGACAAGCGGAGGTGCCAGGGGTGCAAGTTCTTCATATTTGCATGCGATGACAAAAGCAGGCCCGGCTGGGTCATATAAAGCCCATGACACCCTGTCAGCCTCCTCTAGAGAAAACGGCAGGACCTACAATCTGCGGAGATGCCTGTCACTTCACCGCCTGCCTGCAGAGTCCTCCCCCACATGGTTAATTGATTTATCCCAGTGCTTTGGAGATCACAGTGAGGAGGTAGCCCCTCCACTGGTGAGAAATGGGATTCTGCCTCAGTGGATGGTGCCCCCTCTGCGCTTTGATTGGGCTCCAGCAGTCCAGCAGCGCCAGTGGGGAAGGAGTCAAATGTGAGAAGTGATTTGGGAGCATGACCCAGTCTCATAGGTCAGCCAGAGCCCGCTGGCACAGCGCTGGGCTTTAACTCTGCAGACAGTTTGTGGAGGCAGGAGGGAGGCTGCTCAGGAGGAGGAAATGATCTCACTGGCTAAACGAGGACTGACGGCGGGGAGGCGTTCAGCTCAGAGCGCCAGCTGAGGAACAAGCATAAGGGTTTGTCACATACGGGATGACCAAAGGTTTAAATGTAAAACAGTAAATTAAGAGTTCTGTTTGTAAACAAGATGCTGCAACCAATCAGTGTTTAATGCTTTTTTTTATTCCACTAGTGGAAGCCTGACTGACTGACCGGGTTTGGTGGGCTGGTCAGGACCGGCTGTGCTCAGAGGGCTCCCGTCCTCTCAAAAATACCCCAGCAGAGCCCAGCCAAGTCCGATCTCACTCCCACCTCATCACAGACTTTCACAGGATCCTTCATGTCACGTTCTCCATGTTCCCTGTCGTGTCATTTATCAGCACACAGGCGACAAAATCCCTTCATGTCAGACGTAGAAGTTGATGGTTTTGTTAGCGTCGCTCCCCTTTAACATGCAGGTGATGTTATAACAGGGAGCATCTGGACCCAAACAGCTCTATGGTCTGGACATGAGCAAGTCAAAATACAAGTAAACAGAGAGTGAAAACACAACACTAGACACTAAATAACATAAAACCTCGTGAAAATCAGTGGTTGAACACAGAACATAAACCTCAGTCTCCTGGAGGAAAAGTCTCGTGACTTAGAGTTTGTGTAAAAATGACATGAAGACTCTGACAGAACAACAGGGAGGGAGAAAAGTTCCCAACCTGACCAGGAGACAACAAAACCCCACATGAGACAGCACAGTCTGATGGTTAAATCACTTCCTTCTTGTTGTGGTGAAGATTAGGGAAAACTTGTCATCATCGCTAACAGAACTGAAACACTTATTTTAATTCTTTAAACACAGCCCAGGCTCCACACCCTGACTTCCAGCTTTGCCACACAAAGGAGACGCTGCTTCCTGCTCTGGCACTGGGTGTAAACAGGTCGAACTGGACTAACATAACCAGCCACCATCTTATAAACCAGCTGCTTCACCGATCACAAACCTGGAGGAACGCTGAGTTTGTAGCATTTTCTAGCCTGGACAAAAAAAGACGTGAGTGAGATCTATGGAGGACAAAACTGCTCCATGATGCAACACAACCACAATAAAAGATCTGGTCCGGCAGCAGAAGTTCCCCGGGATGCTGGTACAATGACTGAACAAAAGTAGACAGTAAATGCTTGATGATGCATTTGTATGAAATCAGTGAACAAAGACTGGATTGCAACAGGTTGTGTTGGAGCAGCTCGTGCATGATTACCAGCTTACTGGTTGCACATTTTAAGGCTGCAAAGAGCAAAGTGCCCTGGTCTGGTGCTCTGAAGGGCCCCTCACTGAGTTCTGTGTGCCAGCAGAGCAGCTCCACTTCCAAGAAAAGATAAGAATAAATAAAGAAAAAACTCCTCTTCAGCTCAGTGTGCCTTGCATAATCATTGCGTAATTCCAAGCAGCTGTAAACAGCTCCCAGCAGCGACTGCTGGCTTTGGTTCAACCATCCACCTGCAGACGGTGAGCCGTTTGCATGACGGGGGAGCGTCTAAACAGAGATATCAAACCTGTGTCTAAACTTGATATCACACTGTCTGGTGCTTAGTCCTGAAAGAGGACAGATCAGGTTGGGACATGAGGAGCACCTGGTCCAGCCGGTTCTGACTCTGTACACCGTGCTCCAGTTCAGCAGGGACAACGTCACGCTTTGCAAAACAAACCACTGATCACCACAAACCACAAATACACATTTTTGGTCGAAGCGGTTCCCTCGGTGGGTCAACTGGTGGAAAATAGCTTCACCTACATCTGGTGCTGTGCACCAGCCTCCTTAGATGAACTGTGAGAGTTGCACTCGTCAGTCTTACCTGCGATGACGAGCCATGCAGTCAGAGCCGCCACACAGGAGACCAAAGCCTTACCGACCGTCATGGTGCCACAACCCTGGAGGTCACAGATAGACTGATCTGAACATCATGACTGAGATCAACACATAAGACTCACAGGACCTGCACAGGTGATTGTTTTACTGTTACTGTTTGACAAATACTTTGCAGATAAGAGTGAAAAACAAAAGCAGTAAAACTGTCACATAAAGCCAGAAAACAGGTGTTTTCTTACCTCGGTTCTGTCAGGAGTTCTGTAGACCAAAACCTTGAGTTATATACAAGGTATGACTCCAAGTAACTGTAAGGAATTCACAGCCGGTCTTGTCGGTGGGCAGTGGGAGGACTGTGGACAGCAGAGTGTAGTGGGGGTTTATATGGGAGCACAGGGAGGGAGGAGATCGGACCTCTGAGGGAAACAAAACATGTGACTGTTGGGAACGGGTTCTGGCAGGATAAAGCCTGAGAGGAGATGATATCTATATCATAGTAGAATTCTATATATAGTAGAATGATTTCGACATCTCCGTGTTTACACTGAACAGATTGTGAGTGAAGTGAATGAATTCTGATAAAGTCCAGACTCAGGTTCAGTCTCCACAAATCTGAAACATGCTGGTCGGACTCCGCCGGCTGCTTCTGGACTGAAGTGTAACTACCTGACATTTATCATAACAGGCTTTGGACGGTTACGTAACAGGATCTTTGTGAATGGGGAGAGGAGTGGGGTTGATGTGAAGGGGTCTGGTTCTGGCGAGGTGGGCCGGGGCGGTGCTGCAGCGAGCCTACAGATGGATGGAGAGCAGGTCCAAGAGATTTACAGGAAGAGATGTTGTTTTGGAACATATGTGGGTTCCTCATGACGAACCCAGAGGGAGTCCTCAGCATAAATCTGATCCGTCCTGTAATGCAGCACCTGTGGGAACATCTGATCAGCACACAAAGGGACCAGAGAGCTGCAGCTTCTTCTGGCTCTCATGTCATTTAAGGTGAGAGTGTTAAATTTAAAAACAACAAAACTAAACTCCCCCCCCACACTATTTATGTGTTTATTTATTTACAGCATCTGTTCAGACTCCTCCATGGCCCCGAACCCAACATCCAAACCGCAAACTGTTTTAATTCACCCCAACCTGCACTAATTCATATTTGAAAGCAGAACTGACAGAAGTCTGTTCTGTCTCTTCATCTCAGGAAGACTTTTACAGCATCGGTCTACAAACCGAGCTGATTTATTTGAACAGAACCTTTGAAAGCAGGCTGCGATTTCATCTTGAAAGGAGGGGCTGCATTCACTATTTAAGGCAAAAACATTCTCTCAGGCCTGGAGGGCTGGACAGCGCTGGAAGGTTTCAGTTGAGAGGCTGAGAGTTGCCAAATTGTCTGGATAAATACGGCTTTAAGAGGGACTCGGGGCCTTTCTTGGAATCCTAATGAAGCCATCTTTTGTGTTTGTGTACTGGCTGGAGCAGAGTCCGTGGCGCTAAAATGAGCATGTCGCGCTTCACAAAGTCTTACAGAGCTGAAGAAGAGGCCTGGCAGCGTCTGACAGCTCACCAGAGGTGGCTGTCAGCTTTGGAAACCACAGGCTTGACAATGGACCAACCCTTGACTGACAAACCAGTGTCCTGAGAAACCACGGAGGGGCTACACGGACTCTGAGATTTCAGGATGCTGGTTTAGGGTTTGAGGAACATTAGAGTCACATTTAGGACATGAGGACGTTCAGGTTCAGGGTAAATCCAGTCAGCGTAATCCCCCAGCGACTGTCATTATTAGAATCAGGTTCCAGTCGATGTCCTACTGAAGCAACACTGAACAAACGTTCATGAAGAAAAACTTTTAAGTACGACTGGATTTTATTCCATCTAAGGAAACTGTGGCGACTCAGAACGTCTGAATAAATCAGTTTGTATCCTCAGACCTGGATCTTGGGTGGCCAGTGATGCTGAAAAGGTGTTTTTCTGTCCTTTTACGACTGGTTGAACTTGTTGTCTCTTGTGCAGATTCAAGCCTTTGTTCTGGAACATTCTTCCTTCCAGCAGGGGGTCTGGAGATTTCTTTTCTTTTTCTTTTTTTTTCTAAGAGAGGTGATGGCTGGTAAACACAGACCCAAGCAGAGTCCATAATTAGAGCAGCAAGCGGACCCTGCCAAGACCAAGGCCAAAGGCTTTTACATGTCAGTTTGTATAAGGCTCAGTGTAACTGGCTTGTTAGCGGCTCGTCTTTGTCTCTGCACTCAGGCAAAGTGCAAATAAGCAGACTGTTCAACATTCAGTAATATTCACTTGAGATTTATTCAGGTCATAATTACACATTATTTGAATTAAATATTGTCCCTAACATGTTGCACAAAGAACTGGCGTGGCAGGGAAAACAATACAGCAGGTCGACAAATAAACGTGCTCCGACTCAGGTCGTCTCCGTCTTGTTTCAGGACCGTGGTGGACCAATGAGAACGCAGAGTTTCAGACGCGACGCTCCACTGACCACCACGAGACAACCCGAAAAAGTTTGGAATATTAACAAATCTTCATATAAAAAGTATTTTTAAAACAAAGCACAGCCCCAGGATCAACGTTACAGTGCATAAGAGACATGCAGTCGACATAAAAGAGCTAAACGTGGTGTGGAGGAATCTATCACTGCTCTAAAACAGAAGCTCTCGGTGCCGTGACGTGCCACCGGCTGGGAATCAGCGAAATATGGCAGCTCGGTCAAATTACAACGTAAGCACTACACAAAGAATACTAAAAATGAAGACCTTGAATCCTTACCATTTTTTTCAGCCAAGACTTTTAGCATCAGACTACACATTACCTCCAATATGATACCATGCCGTCATTCTTAAAATATTGCTCGTGGATGAAACGGCTGAGATCAATGCCTCGACACAAACAAGTTAATTTCCAACACAGTTAAAGAATATCAGTACAGTTCAAGTAAATAAAAACAGTGAATGTTTTAAAATCCTGTCCTCTAGCTGTGATCTATTGCTACTGTATGCTCTGAAACGCTCCAGAAATACTCAGACATTAGAGTAGATGACAGTCAACAGAAAGCCTGTAAAAACCTGCGTTTTTATCTCTAAATACATTCTGGCAATGATCCAACATCTGGTGCAGACAGATGACAGAGCTGTACGAGCTGCTTCAACACATGGTTTCCTGGTTGCACGGGGGGTTAAAAAAGGATCTCGCACAACCTAAAGTGAGAACAGATTGTTCATGGGTGACTGATTCAGTGCAACACAGTTTTCTGTGAGGCTCTGAAATCATCTGTATCGTGAGCCAGTCGTCTGTGAGATATTTTGCAAGATATGCAACTTTAAAAAAAGAAAAAAGAAGAAGAGAGATTTCTACTGGAGAAAGCTGGAATGTATTCCAAACAAGTCTCTAGCTGTGTCTCTCACGCTCAGTTCCAAGTCAGCCAGTTCTTAGAGTTTGAGCATGAAAAAGACTTCACTGTTTTCAGGGTCTGGGGAGGACGGAGACTGTGTAGCGGAGGGAGATCCTAGGGGGGTGAGCTGACTCAGCAGGTCCAGGCTGCTGCAGGGACTCCGGGCCACGCAACACGCCCCTTCGGGGTTCCCTCGCTCCTCGATTGGGTTTGCACTACTTCCGCTGCCGATGCTACCAGTAAGGCTAAAGCTTGCACTTCTGCCCTGGATCAGGCCCTGGAGCCTCTGCCTTTCCTGGGCCTTCTTGGCCCTGTTTGCAATGTACCGCACCCTGCTTTGGCTCCTTGAGGAGGTCCTTCGCACCAGGGTCTCATCCACCAGCTCCTCCTGCGGCTCTCTGGACCTGTTCTCTGGGCTGAAGTCACTGGCGGTCAGCGGCTCCACATCAGTCAGCCTCCGCAGCTGCTCCGTCAGGTCGCTGGGCGGCCGAGACTTCTGCGGGCTGCCCTTGCGGAGCTGGTCTCTGGTTGGTCTGACAATGAAGCTGCGACTGATGCTACGGTATTTGCTGTCAAAGTTGCAGGAAATGTCATCAGAGGTCAGATCCCCAAGGCTCTTGGACATGGAGGCTGCAGCTGCTGGGGCTTTGGCTGCCGTGGAGGGCCTTCTGGATGATGACTGCTTGAGCTCCTCCATGTAGAGCCGGCTCCACGTGTGCCTTCTTTGCGTCAGTCTGCTGGATAAATCCACAGACGCTTCCTGGGCTGGCTGCAGTGGGCGGGGCTTGAGCTCATCTTTGGGGCTCTCACTTTGCTGAAGGTTGGGGTTTGACTTGCTCTTGCTGACTCGCAGGGCATCGCAGGAGACCAACGCTGAGCGGCGGCAGTTAACCCACGGAGGGTCGCTGGTGCTGCTGGCTGAGGGCAGGCTGGTGAAACTCTTCCTGGCCAGGTTAGGCAGGGACAGGTCGATGACTGTGTCGCTTGAAGAGATGCTGGAGGACGAGGACATGCTGTCTCGGTGGCTGCCCGGCTCCAGCTTGCTCCAAAGGCGATCATTCATGGTAGCATCAGTGCAGACCTCTGGTATTGCTGACTGGGCCGGCCCAGCTGGGTCCACGTCCATCCGAACATGGCCCTCACTTTTTGTTCTCCGTACAGGTGTGTGTGATGACATGTGGTTGAACAGAGCTCTCCTGGTCTGGGCTGGCTGAGCTGCAGGAGTTCTGATGGACGCTGCTGCAGCAGGACGCTCTCCTCTGTGGTCAGACTTTAACTCTGCTGTAGAACTTTTCTGTTCCATCAGAGCTTCTTGGTTTTCTCTCTGGCTCGGCGTGCGCTCCATGAACGAATGAGTGCTTTTGTTGTTCTGGGTGTCCTGACCGCACTGAGGCAATGAAGCTTTCTCAGCAGGGTTTGTCGGAGGGAACGATGTAGTTCTGGAAAAGGTAGGCTTCTTAGGGTCTCCGCTCACCTTGGCAAGACTGAGCACCACCCCGTTTGAAGGACTGGACAGTGGGGCCTCTGCACTTATTGCTGTGGAAGGCGGGTGCGGTGGTGCAGGTGAGGAGTGATATGAAGACAAACTCTCTTCTGGAGTGGAAGCAGACCGGATGGAACGGACGCTCCTGGTGTCGTCTGAGTTTAGTGCAAGGAATGGAAGCGGGGCAGTCGGTCTCTGCCCTGGAGAACAATCTGTGGAAAGAAGGACAAGAAGGAAGCGGATCAGTACCAGCAGAGCTGCTCCTGGTCACTCAAAGCTTCTGGTTGTAAGGTTACATCAACTTAAACATGTGGGACTGACTGATCTGTGGGTTCGGTATGAACGTGGACATTCACGTCATGAAGTGATTCTCTCCTTGATTGAATGAGCTCACATGAGGCTAAATACAGTTTGTTGTGTGATGAGCTGATTTTAACGTGTGAATGCATTTGAATGTGAATGCAGTGGAGCTGAGGTGTCGACGGTGTTCCTGCTCAGGACATGAACGTTTAGCATCGTGTGCTAACACTGTAGTGGTGGTTGGTGTTCAGTCATGAGGAACAGAGACGGACACGTGGAGCCGGTCGGTGAAGACATGTGAATGGTTGCTGTTGGTTTCTAAACATCTCAGTCTTGCAATCATTCCATTTCTCCACCACCCAGGTTAGCTCGGTCATCTAAATGAGCTCCAGAGGTAGAACTCAGGTATGAAATCCTCTGAGTGCAAAAACTAAAACAAAAGTTACAGGAAACTGGAATGATCCTTCAGGACTAAATACATGTGACAGTTTTATGAATTGTGGTTTCCACTTGCCCACTCTGAGTCCCTGGACCTGCATTTCATTCACAGATTTAAACAGACAGAGCTGGCATGCTGCTCTCATTACTTCCACTAAAGTCAGTCTGAGTTTGTGCAGTTTGGAGAACATGTGAAAATGGAGATAAATAAGCTTTGGCGGCCCTCGGCGGTGTATGGCCCATGGATCATGAGAGAAGCAGACTGGTGAGACAGAGAAAGTGAGGATGTATTTGAAGGCTGCATGCATTGAGCAGTGTTTACCTGGCTCTGGTCATCCCCTCAATTCTGCACTAGGAACAGAGAGAGCGTGCAAAAGGGACAGAGAGGAAAAAGGAATTTAGCCCAACTGGAGAGAGGAGGGAGAACGAAGGCAAGGAAACAGCTTCCAGGACAGAGAAAGCACCGTAACAGACACGAGAACATTTATCACAGCATTTTACACAGAACTGAAAGACAAGAGGTCAACCTGCCAAAAACAGGGAGTGTGTCAGGTGATGAAGCTCTGACGAGTACGGCAGACATCTGCCAGCATCATATGACTGAACAGATGTCAGCACACATAGGCTGCTGCAGCGAGGCCACAGGACGAACATCTCAGCTCCCTGAACACACTGGGTTTCCCCACAAGATTAATTTTGATGGTAAAAACACAGAAAGCCGTCACATGATGAGCAGCGAGGCTGGATGGAGGCGGTTTGTCTACAACAGCTGGTGTTTAGCAGGAACTTGAGCCCTTCTCAGATATGTCATGTGAGGACAGGCGGACGGTCACCTGGATGATGTCAGCAGCTCGTGACTCACTCGTGACTTCCAGGGCGTAGCCAGATGTTGTCAAGGATGTACTCCAAATATTGTGTGTTTCAAGTTTCATGTAGGAGTCAAACTGCTTCGGTTGTGACGATGGCTTTGTTCAGCTGCTGTCTGTTCACCGGCCGTTAGTCTTACAATATGTGAAACAGTTCACACCTGTGTAGCTGCTTCTTACAGAATATACGAGTTTGAACCTCAGCGAGGTTCTTCAACACACTTCACAATGCATCAGCATTCACATACACTGACATGCTAACGGCAGCCTATCAGGGATCGAGCTGCCGTCCCTGTGCTGCTCTTCCACCTGAGCCACGGCCACCCACTCATGTCAGGCCCACAGACCGACTTTAGTGCCTCAGCTCCAGACCAACTAAAACACTCTAAATGCTTGTTCATCACATTTCCTGCAGTCTCTAGTCTATCAAACAGTCTGGATTCTGGACTCTGAGGAGGACCTTTCAGCTGCTGGCTGGTGATCCAATGGGGTCAGACTCTTGTGTTTGTTGCTTTAGACCGTATGATCAAAATGAACAGGTTTAACTGTAATTACTACTAACTACAGGGTAAAAACTTACCATTTCTCTCATCTGTGAAGCATGTCGGTTGTATTATGTCGAGTGTTTTCAAGAGAAAAGCAAACATGGAATCAGATGAAATGCTGAGGCTGAGATGAACGCTACACACACTACAGGGCAGCGCTACACCGCTAGTGATGGTGTTCAAATCTGAAGCCGCTCTACCAGGGACACGAAGGACGCTGAGGTGTTACACATTCACATCGGAAGGGAAGTTGTGACAGCACGAGCTACCACTCATGGTGCTAACTGGAGGTCTACATTCCATCGTACATGAAAGGTTGATTACAGCTACGACTCCGATCTACCGGGTTACTGCTCAAACGGCATCAGATAGGTCTTACCAGCAAAGAACATGGGGGACTTATGACGCAGCTCTTCCATTTTCTGGGCAAACAGGGCATTCATCTCTCTCTGCAGGGTTCCCACAGCCCTCTTGCGACTGTCGAGGACCGAACGTGGAGGCAGCATAGGAGGGGACTCCAAGCTGCTCAGGCTGCCAAAGCTATCGCAGCTGCTACTGTCGCTGAGCAAGAGACCTTCATTTGTGTTGCTCTTTGTGAACGGGGTGGGAACTGAGCCACAAACAGCCCCATAGTTGGGCGGCGTAGCTTGCTGCCAGCAGAGACTGGTCCTGCAGTCTGGTGGGAGGACTGGTGCTGGTGTAACAGCGTTGGGGGAGCGTCTACGGGGAACGCTGCAGGATCGGGTGCCCCTGTGGGATGCGTCAGGCTGAGACTGGATATGTTGGGCACCCAGAGTTTGCCTGGCTTTGGACCGGGGGAAAGGGATGGGTCGGAGGAGGGCCTGGGGCGAGTACTGAAACTGGGTCTCCATACACGACTTGCGTTTGGGGGTAGACCGCTCCAGGTCTGAACAGGCAGGTTGGGGCTTGGCAACAGTTTCTGACTGAACTTGGCTCTTGGTTGATGGGGAGCAGTTGCTTCTCCTTCGTCTCTCCCGATCTGACTTTGTGGACTTGCATTCCTGCCTTTCCTCGACCTGAGCCTTCCTCTCAGCCTCTGGACTCTCCTTTGAGCCAATCACACATGTGATGCAGTTGGACGACATGCCCACCCTGCCTGAGCTGTTCAGAGCAACACGGGCAAACACGCCTTGCTTCATGTCCAGCGGATCATGAAAGCGGAGCCGACTGGCCCGTTTCAGAGGCTCACTCATGGGTCGCTGCGGAGCATAAAGTGAGCTCTTACCTTTACCCTCCTCAGGGTGAAAAGCCCCGTTGGAGTCAGGATGGTCCCAGGGGCTCTTGGTTTGTTGGGATGCAACTGAGTCCCCGTTGCGGTGCTGTGGTGGTGTGAACTGGTAAGAGACGGCAGCAGAGGCCTTGTCCCTGTCCTCAGACTCCCGCTCCTCGCTAGCGCCCTCTGAGCTGTATTCTTTGGTGTCGATGGCGATCTCTGGGAGGCCCTTCTTGATTTTGGGCTGACCTTTGGTGGGGGCACTGGCAGTGCGGCGCAGGAGGTGGGCACCAAACGGGTGCTTACGGCTGTGCTGTACAGCAGCATGGCTGTCCAGGGAAGCCTGTTTTGGGTTTCTGTGGAACAGCCCTTTTATGCCGCTGGCTGCTCTGGCCTGGAAAAAACACAATAAAACCAAATTGTCAAACACAACGAATCCTAAACAAAAACGAGTAAGTCACAGGAATGTGAATAAGAAAGGGTTACCATAATGCCGGTGGCATGGGTCCACACTGCATTATTACAGTATGTGGGCAGCTGTGCACAGTGAGCATGCTTCAAAAGGAACAAACAGATTCTATTGATCCACATTTACCCCAGAAATGTCCTGTCACACATGAATGATCACCCTCTGACCCTGCGATCATTCAGCTGGTATCCATGCTGACTAACTTTGAATTCCACTTGGATTCAAAGGCATTCTGAGCACCTACATCTCTGTAGAGCAGCTGCTGTCCAGCGGTGAGGGATTAGTTACACACACATGCTTGAATCTACCTGCCAAAGTTAAAGACACAAAGAGGTCCTCAGGCTGTTTGTCCATACGGCTCAACACACTGGTCGTACTTTGGTACTGCGTTCTAGTAGAACTACAAAGAGGAGGATCTGACCACCACAACGCTGCAGTAAAGGCCTGAGAGTAAAACAAAGACTGCACCAAATCGTCTTGAGTATGACTTATTTTGTTTCATCTGAAAACGTCTATTTGAAGAATAATAAAGATACAATACTCAAAATCTATAAAAATAGTTTAGATGAGGAGAAAAAAACTCAGATGAAGAATCTTTATTTTGTATAACCAGGATTAAAAGATAAAAGACGAATGTAAAGTGAGCGAGTGGTGACGAGCGGCCTCGTTGCTCTCTGGGTTAACATTCACATTACACAGACTGTGCCTTTAGGAGCTACATGGTGCATGTAAGAAGCCACAATGAACGGGATGAACATGATGACGACATTCAGACCATGACAGAGATGACTGTGAAACTCGCTTTGACATTTTCATGGATTGTACCAGTCCACACAAAATGCCAAACAAAATGGACGTTTAGTGGGACGGGGCATCACACGGCACAAAGAGTTTCCCATGAAACAGGAAGCCATGAGGCTCCCTGTATGTCCATAAGAGAAACTAGGGTCTAAACTCAGATCCAGAGAGAGCTTCTACTTGGTGGCAGTATTCCTGAAAGGCAGGTACTTTCAGTGAAGAGCATTCTAATTGGTGACGAACTCGAGTGTAGCCTTGTTCCCCACACCTGGGAGCAGGTTGTTTGGCTTGTAGTCTGTGGTCGACACCAATCTGCCCGTTTCTGTGGAAGGCAGCGTTCAGGGACAACCTGTGAATGTGTCAGTGGACCAAGTGTGTTTCATGGCCCTGGGGCTTCACCCTGCGTAGAAATCACACTGTGCTGGAGGTGACTTCGTCCCTGATGGAAGTTCTCAGGAAACTAAAAGTCCTGGAAGTTCTCATGCTAAAATCCCTGCATCATGTCACTTAAACCTTTAACCACTGCTTGTTATCAAAACTGAGAGCAGATCCAAATGGCCTGACTGCCCTCCACTACGGTGAACGGCTTACTGACCACCTATCAGCTGTACGGCAAAAAGACGAGACGACAAACAAAAGAAGTCTGTGGCTGAGTGAAAAGAAAGAAAAACAAGGGCTGATGTGGGCGGACATGCACAATGTGGAACTACAAGGAAGCTCAATAAATCAGGTTGTCCCGCCTGCTGTGCCTTTGGGACCACAAACCTTTCATCCTAAAACAGAGACCTGACACTCTGGGAAACTGTTTGTTGTCCAGAGACAGACGAGAAGCTTCGTATTACTGCTGCACCGTGTTCTTCTGGGTCTAATTTAACAGCTTCAATAAACGGATCTAATGAAGGCCTTCGTCGGTCACATTGAGCAGAAACTAGGAACGACTCGGCACCGGGGTTCTGGATCCATAAGAATTATCCAACCAGTGCTGCATCCACAAGACATGCTGCCAGGTGTTCACTATGAGTGGAGCTGAAACAAACGCTGCAAATGTCTGTTTAGTTTTTCTGTAAATGTCTAATATGCTCCTTCAAACTCTTATGAGCCGTTGCATTCTTACCCTGCTATGATCACTAAACCTAGAATAGAAAATAAATGATCTAGCAATAAACAAAAAGAGCAGACAAAGTGGTTAAAACACAAGGAAGGGAATGAAAGGAGAGATAAATGTCCTCAGAGGCACTGGAACTGTATACCCCTGCAGTGCAGCACACTGGAAAACTCCTGAGTTAAGAGAAAAACGCTCTCTGCAAAAACAACACAGCAGAGATGTCACTGCAGCCTGGCAGACTTCCTGACTCCCTTCTCTCTCCAGCTCTTCAGGGTGTAGGTTAATGACACTGGATCTACTCGGGGAGTCAATGAATGTGCAGGCAGGGCAGCCTTCATAACTCATGAGAGCCATGAGTTGGCCGGAGAGTTGTTAATGATAGCAGCTGGCTGACAAAAGGGGTGTGTGCAAGGGGCAGGGGAGGAGGGCAGGAGGACGGGGGCATTTAGGTGGCAAAGAAGGTGGAGCATGTGGCTCATGCAAGATGCCAACTGGGTCTCACTACACCTGAGTTTTGAGTGGCAGCATCAGGGCTCCTAACAATTTCCTGCCTCTAAATGGAGCGTTTGGTAAAAGAGGGGTCCACTGAAATCACAAACAGACACAGGAAGAGAGTGAAAGTCAGAGAGGGGCAGGATGAAAGAGAGAGACATTGGGTGGGGTGGGGTTAGGGGAGAAATCACAGCAGGAGGCTCACCGCAACAGCTGAGGAAGAGGAAGTTCAAAGCAAGGACAATGTGAACAACAGAGCAGCCATTTACAACGTGGCTGGAGACAGCTGAGGGCACTGGAGCTACAAGGTTAGAGGGAAACCAAACCACAGCCAGTGGGACCGCCACAACGGCCTTCTTCAGGATCTAATCACAACATTTTAAAACAGAAATAACAACAAAAATATACACAGTCAGTTCTTCTAGACCAAATGTGAAACGCCACCTTTTTGTTTGGGCTGTTTCAGCTGATTTATCCTGAATGGAACAAAGGTTGAAAAGAAGAACAAGCATTCGTACGTTTTAGGTGCCATTACTACCAACTACATGGCTTAAACTATGAGGGCACCCAGCTGACGTTAGGCCATCAGGTCTGACTCCCAGTCAGCTGCTGAACGGTTGGGCTGAGCTCAGACCAGCCAGGAGCTTCCACACTGAAGTGGAAAAACCCTTTCCTCATGGAGCTGGCTTTGGACATATGGGCAAAATAATACTGGACCGAGGAGAAACAAACTACTGACAAAAAGTTAGAAGGAAACTATATTCTATAGTATAACTCGAGGAAGAAGCATTAAGATTTCCCCTCAGATAAAAGAAAGGGCAGAAAACCTAAAATCACAGCCCCAGTAGTAAAGTACAGGATGTGGACAGGGTGCCACAAACTTCTGGCCTTCAGCGTTCACTGGTATTGGTACCATATATATATATATATGTTAAAAAAAAGAAGCAGTGGGGGAATTGTCTGGAAAAACATCACTGTAAATTCTCCTGGTTTATTTTAATAGAAACATTCATGGGTCCCTCTAAAGTTCTAAAACAGGGATACGTATACACACAATGTAAACATGGTGTCAAAACCCTGACATCCACTTTAATGAACAGAGTGTGTTGTAAAGTCTTTTTAAATATTTTCCATAGGTGTAAGTGTGTAAAGCTGTCCCATTTGTACAGCAAAGGTCACAGCTTTTCATCCATTGCCTGCTGGCTTCATCAGTGGTACCTACCTTACCAGTGATGTCATTCACAGCCACATGAACAAAGATGGACGCCTCCTCCATACCTTCCAAGTACACATGGCGATAACCTAGATAAAAACAACAACACACCACGGGAACAGCCACAATATCAGTGAGTGAAACACAACAGTGCAGACTGATAGATAGATAGATAGATAGATGGATAGATGGATAGATGGATAGATGGATAGATAGATAGATAGATAGATAGATAGATGGATAGATGGATAGATAGATAGATAGATGGATAGATGGATAGATGGATAGATGGATAGATGGATGGATGGATAGATAGATAGATAGACAGCTGTTGTATATAAAATAGTGAAACAATCCACTTTTCTTTATGTGTTCTACTTTACGCCATCTAGCATCGTCACTCTGAACATTGCACTCCATCATTCAGTCTGTTTAGGAAGTCCATACTGTAGCTCTTGGTTAGTATAGGTCCCGTCTAACACAGGTCACTAGATAATAAGCCATCATAATACAGTTAGGCAGGCTGTATCTAAAGGCTGGATGCTTCAACCCGTGTTGTTCTGTAAGCTTCTGCTGGATGGTCAGATGTGTTCTTTCAGTGTACAGGTCCACTTCTATGCAGATGACACTCTGCTTTCTGTTTCCAATCATCCAACTCAGACACCTGATTTAATCCTGTCTTCTAGCTGTAAAAAGTGATGAATAACTTTCTTGTGAATGTAAATAATAATCAAATGTTAGCCTCTCATGTGGCCATACAGAGACTGGATCCCGTTGACTACATCATAAGCAGCTGGCATCCAAATGTTGTTGTTGTGAAAACGGCAGTGTGTATGGACTGGACGGACTGCTGCCTGTAAAGCCTGCACAGTGGTACAGCTTCTACTCCGAGTTCAGGGAAACACATGGAAATACAAGCAAGGACAGTTGTTTATGTTGTGTGTTTGACGAGCAGAGGTTTTGGCTGAAAGGTGCTGAGCAGACGAATAAACTGGTCATGTTCACAACCTTACATGTGTATTTTTGGCCCAGCTGTGAGTTTTTTAAAGACCTGCTTTTCTTTGTAACCTTGTTAATATGGTGATGTGGTATTTTTCATGTGCTAGAAGACACATCATGAGCAAAATGAGCAGTCAGAGTTACATCTTGGCCATTTCAAGGCAGGAAGGAGTGATTTTAATGAAAAAACAACAACTAAATGTGTAACTTTGATACACACAGATGTGCTTTTATGACTGTCTGCAGATATAACTTAGAGCCAATACCTTTAATAACCTTTAAGACAAAGCTGCACTGATCACAACTAAATGAATGGAACTTGTACAAAGATCCTGGGAGATGACACATATCTAGTAGGGACTAAACAACTGATATACAACATGTAACCTAATGAACTCTGAAGTCGTTGGTGGGTTTATTTTTGTACTTTGGACAGAGTCAGACTTTTTCAAATGAAGCCGGGCTGAGCACATCTTTACTCCAGTTCTGCACTTAACCCACATGCAAGTTAGTTTATCTTCCAAAAGACCCAAGCTTCCCTTTAAAATGCGTTGAGAGTCATTCTAAAAGAGCTTCTGATATCCTGATACTGATGCATTTCAACATAAATACATGAATCATGGAGGTTGGGGAACAGGGCTACATGCCTGACTTAATAAACCATCTCTCCTTTTTCACAGCAGTTCCCATGTCTACAGGATGCGACACCACCAGAGCACAAGACACAACAAAATGCAACAACAGAGCTGTTAGAGGTCACCACAGAAACATGAGCCGGGGTCACCTGCGTCTCAGAGCGGGTGCTTCACCGTGGCTTACCTGGCATCATGCTGTTGAAGGCAATGGTGCGCTGGCCGATGAAGTCCTGGCCAATGGGGTCATGATCCCACACGAGGAAACGCACCAGGGCCAGCTCTGGCATGTAGACCGTGAACACCAGAGTCTCCTCCCACATCGGGTTGAACCCTACGAAACATCCAAAGAGAGGTGGCAGAAAAGGTGGAGGAGGGGAGGCGGGTGCAGAGAGAGAACAGAAAGATGGGAGAGAAAAACTGAATGACAATGCAGAAAAACTGTGTGACAAATAAGAAGAGAAAAGTTCTGCAGGTAAGTAGAGAGGATATAAAGAGCAGGAGAGACGGAGAGAGTGGACGGCCAGGGAGAGTCAGAAAGTGAGCTCAGCACTCATCAATTATTCAGGCTCGTGAGGGAGGGAGACGGTGGACCGCGAGCTGCTGCCTGTGCACATCTCCTCATGCAGAGCTCATCAATAATGGATCAGAACCCATACAGGCCGCGAACACACACACAGGTAGAGTCACATTCAGCCAGCGGACTGTCTGAGTGGCCACATACATACATTAACCACATGTCAGAGGGAAAGCACAACACCGAGGTGGTCGCGTACAGCAGGACCCACAGTCAGGGCTAGCCGGCTAAACTGACGTAGGATCGTCTAAAGAAAGGTTCTGGGTGTTGAATTTATACCAAAGAAACACTGAGACTGGAATGAACACTGGTCCAGAGGAAACACTGACCAGTTCTCTTATATTAGCTGCTTTAGCTACATGGAGATCCAAGACCAGGCATTGTAGTGACGTCCACACACTCAACGTTTAGAAAACATTCCCTGACACTTTCCTGTGAGGGTGAGGTGTGCCACCTACCAACCACAGCTGTCAGTTAGTGGTCAAAGGGCAGACATTAAAGCCTTCTATATGCCAAGTCTGATGAGAGAAGCCATCACTTCTAAAAAAACGACCACCAACATACCTCTTAGAGGAGCCACGTGTTGCTATTGTGGCCATCAGACATGTTTAAAAGTGACTCGGCCGGTTCCCTGGAGAAGAACTGGAGCCAAGCACCATCCAGCTAACTCCTGACATGCTAACCACTTGGGAACATGGCTGGACAACAGCTCTGTCATCTAGCTGGTCTGCTAACGTTCAGCTGACTCCTGCACCTACCAGCACTTCACAGGTATCATGAACACCACAGATCAGTTGGATCCATGTATTTACATCTTCACAGTTACTGAAGTACTACTCGATTATCTCAGATTTTTCTCGTCATGCTAATGTTTCTGAAGGCAGACGAAGCTCTTCATCAGCTCACCGTTATCGTCCACCACTCTGGTCTGCTCCTTGCAACAGTCCACTGGGAGGCCGATGACCTCCACCTCCACAAAGGGATCGATGATCTGACGGAGAGAGGACACACAGCGGTTTGCTTCTGCTTTCTTAGACATGTGGACGTGGATTAAAGTCACCGTTATTCTCTGTGTGCTTTCCAACAAGAGGACCCTGATGGTTCATCACTGAGCTAGTATCAACCCAGACAGTTTCTTCAGAGGTTGTGATGTGTCAGACTAGCAGCTGCTGGTTTATTTTGGAGCCTGCAGCAGCCACAGAGCTCATCTCACGTCCTTCTAACTGCACATAAACAGACTTTCTACTCTTCTATCATGTAGGCTATAGAGCCCACTGACACTAACTCAAGTGACACCACAGGACCAATTTTTAAAGACTTTTTCTTTGAAAAGATCTCCTTAATGTTCCCTGCTTCTAAATTCTGAGAAGACGCATTTGCACGACAGGTTTCTACAACAGATTTAATGAGTTAGCCGTCGTGCACGACGACGTTCGGTAGGGTGTTGGTGTTTTATAACACACTGGCATTCAATCATGTTGTTGTGTGTGTTCAGTTACATTTCAAAAAAGACTACAGGTGGTACAGGCACATGTGCATCCTACCTCTCCTCTGTCTCCCAGCATGGAGTCTTTGGGTTTGGGCAGCTGCTGTCCACTGATGATCTTCAACACCAGCTGTTTCCTCATCTGACCCGGCAGCGGGTCCTCCATGTTGGGGTTAAAGGCACCTGCAGGGGGCAGAAAGGAAGCTCACTATGTATTTATAGCCCTGATGCTGTTGGTAATTCCCGAGATATTAGTTTTCATCACAACACAAACACAACTCTAGATCGCTCAATAGCTCTCCAGCACCACCATGATTCTTCTCATAGGCAGACCTTCACACATGCAGGCCGGCTTGAGGATGTAGCCACAGTTGCCGTTGCTGTAGAATTTGGCTCTGTTGAGCTGCAGGACGCGACCCTCTGACTGGTAGTTCAGCGCCACTGAAATCAAAGCATTCCACATGAATTACTGTCAGCCGGCTGGACATTTCACCTCCATGTGCTCGTATACAGCGGGTGTGGGAGGATCAAAGACGTAAAGCAGCCGATCGGCAGAAATGTCGATAAAACGGTAGAAGTCCTGATCAGTTAACGCTCTGAACGTCTGATCACTTCAGGATGGAGTCGTACCAAGCTGGCAGCCGGCGTTCCAGAAGGGCTGAGGGTTGAAGTTGGAGGAGTCCACGCGGTAGGAGGACGGGTAGATGCGGGAGAGCTGTCGCTGGTTGAAGTGAATGAAGGACGTGGCTTTCTGCTGCATCACCTGATGGGCTTTAGTCTCACTCAGTGACGACACCTGCCAGCTGCAGCTGGCTGCCGGAGACAACACAAAGACGGTCATCAGGCTCCTGAACTTCAACTAAAGTCGTGTTCAGCATCACTAAAACCACCAAATGTTAGGCTGACAGAGCCGAACTGTTCGTCATTCCAAACAGGAAAGAATCTGACTGAATCTGATACCTGAGCCGCAGGTGTCCGTAGCAATAAAAGACAGTCGACATTAAAATCTCAGATCAGGTTTAAGTAACCGTTAGCTCCTACTCTGCTGCTGTCCTGAGGCTGGTACTGGATTAGCATCTGTGTGAGTCGGTGAAGCTAACGGCCGACTAGCGTGAACAGAACGGCTCACCTTGTGCCTCGATGTCATAGAGGCCTACGGACCGAGTGTACTTGACCAGATCAGACAGAGCCCTGGACAGCTTCATGGTCTTCTTCTTTCTGGAAGGTCAACAAAGGTCAAAGGTTACAGAGAGCATATCACCTGTGCATACAAGTTACCTGTACGCCATGTGGCTCAAATCAGGAGCATCCTGCCACAGAGCGATGCTGAAACCCACTTCTCAGCCAGACTTCTGTGATTCCTTATGAACACTACGTTTAAGATCAGGCTGAAAGCACTCCTCTTTACAGGTAGCTTGGACCACCTCAGTGATGCTGCTGTAGCTTCAGACTGCTGGAGGACTCCCATGATGCACTGGGCTCCTCTCCTCTCCTTTCTCTCTCTTCATGACAGTTATATTGATCTGCAGTTTCTGGCTTCATCAACCTCCAAAATGTTCATTGTTCTCTTGGTGTTGCTGGTCTGTTCTCCGTCTGCTGTCCTGCTGTCCTCCACCCCCTCATCCCCACCCTCACCCCAACCGGACCCCTTCCCTGAGCCTGGTTCTGTCTGACGTTTTGTTTTCCTCCCGGTTACAGCGAAGGTTTAACTGCTTGCTCAGAGGGAACCCAAAGGGAACCTTGGATTGTTGGGTTCTCTCTCTAAAATGTGGAACGTCTTCATGTTAGCTGCTATAAGATGATATATGCTGTAAATTAGCAGCACCAAAGCAGACCAAGTGCTGCTGATCTTACATCTCACACACTCACTGAACTGGAGGACGTTTTTGGCCATCCAGCATCAGCTATCCTCAAAAAGGGGGATTAGGGAGCATTGCTTATTTACAGCGTGTCATCAGCTTAACAGTACTGAACATGGTAAAGACAATCATGGGGTGAACCACAGGAGACAGAAGACACTGATCCATCAGAGGAGAGACATGTTCATGCACCTGTTGGGTTGGATCATATCAAAAGGAGCAGAAGGTCCAGTCAGACGGTTCACAATGTCAATGACCACAGACAAGTCATTGTTTTATCCACAGCGGTGTGGGCGCTGTGCTGGATTCTGAAGGCTTAACAACAGTTTGTCTGAAATGGTGTTTGACTATAAAAAAAGTGATGAGATTGAAAAGCAGCAGTGTGTTTACAGCTCAGGCAGACAGACAGCACACCTGTGTGTCAGCGCTGACAGAAACTCTGCTGGTCAGATTTAAAGCCAAGACAAAGATTAAAGTTGTTTGGCAGGAATGTAAAGCTGAAGTGTAGGTTTGAACATCTGTCCATCAGGGTCACATGGTACCATGGATACATTACATCATGGAAACCCAAGCTGTATGTGAACATAAGATATACAAGGGAAGACGTGTGTAGTGTGTGTGTGTGTGTGTGTATGTGTATATGTGTGTGTGTGTGTGTATATGTGTGTGTGTAGTGTGTGTGTATATGTGTGTGTGTGTGTGTGTGTGTGTGTATGCGCGTGTTTAGTGTGTGTAGGTGTGTGTGTAGTGTGTAGTGTGTAGTGTGTGTGTGTATATGTGTGTGTGTGTGTGTGTATATGTGTGTGTGTGTATATGTGTGTGTGTGTGTGTGTGTGTGTATGCGCGTGTGTAGTGTGTGTAGGTGTGTGTGTAGTGTGTAGTGTGTAGTGTGTGTGTATATGTGTGTGTGTGTGTATATGTGTGTGTATGTAT